GGAAATGGGAGGCTGGGAGGAGGTGGAAACTTGTTTTTTGTTTATGTTTTTTTTCCTTCTTTTCTTAATAAAAAATTATTAAAAAAATATATATGCAGACTAAAAGATGAAGTTTTTAAAGTAAAAAACAAAAAAAGGAAGAGATTGTTGTGTGTGGTAGCACACACCTTTAATCCCAGTGCCTAGAAGGCAGAGACAAACAGATCTCTGTGAGTTCAAGGTGTAGTAGTGTACACCTTTAATCCCGAATGCCTGGGAGGCAGAGACAGGCGGATCTCTGAGAGTTCAAAGACAGCCTGGTTTACAGAGTTACTTCAGGTCAAAGATACAGAGAACCTGTCTCAAAAAGTTAAAAGTAAAAATAAACGAAATAGAGGTTAAAACAAAGCTTTACAAAGATGGAAAATACACAGAGAATCTTGATACTGTATGCTGTTATGCTCTCTTTGAATTGTTTGAATGCTGAGGAAGGAGCAACAGCTGCTAAAAGGTATTTATTTATAAATGCTGCTGAACTAATCTGACATAGATATTTTGATGCCTTGACTTTGAAATTTGGATCTAAGGACATGATGCTTTGGAAAGGAGTTTCTTATTTTGTTTTCACAGAGGATGAGACGCTGTACATTTCTTCTATTCCGATTTGGTATGATGGACCACGCCCTCCTGAAGGGTTGGTGTGAACACCTTCAGAAAATTGCTTCGCTCAACTGCCAACTGAGATAAAGCTAGCACACAGGTTATACCATGAAAGACCTAATTAACGACGCCCCCATTCAGCAGGAAGCAGTTTGTAGAGAAATAACTGCGCCCATATTCCCAAAAAATGTTTATAAATGTTCTTTTACATTTAAAGGGGGATATAATATAGATATGAATAATTTACATTGATATAGATTTTGTTTTAGTGATTTAAATTTAAGGTCAATTTTGTTATATGTATAAGTGTTTCTGATTTTGATTAAGGTATTGTGATTGTGTAGTTCATTTAAATATGTACTGTATAATTAAGAAATATAGGTTGTTAATGGATAATCATCGTTAATAGTAAAGCTTGTAGTCATGTTAGATTTTCTAGATATATAGAGATATATTTTAGATAGACATTCTTCATGTCTTTCAAAGATTACAGAATAGGACATTTAATGTTTTAATAACTGAGGACTTTTCATGACAATGAGACACTCTGCTCCTGGCAGCACCAATCTACTTCGAGAGGAAGATGGGCATCAAAGAGGATCCTTATGGAGTTTAATAGTCATTTGGGCAAGAAACTGTTTTTGCCTGGACTGTTGCATAAAATGGACACAGAGAACCCGCAGAGAGAGGACTGCTGAACTTGCCTAAAGGTGAGACGGTCTTTTGGGGTTCATGACTCATGAAAGAGTCAGCGAGACATTCTGCAGGACACAGCAGATAGTGACTGAACTGTCTTTGAAATTTCCTGCTTCATGGAAATGTCTGCTGGATACTATGGGCCTGAAGGCTGAAGATGGATGCCCCAACCATACAAAAGAACTTTGGGTGACTGTCCAGGCAGCAAGATGTCTCTGTCATTTCTAGAGTTTTCTTATTTCTTGTTTACTTAGGTAAGTATTATATCCTTCTGGAGTCTTTGATGGAGTTGAAGAATGAATAGATAGTTATAGTTTTCCTTAGTTATGATAAAAGATAAAATAGATATAAATATTGTAACTGTAATTCTTGCTTGATAACTGTTTTGCTATATGTAATTTTACTATGTTAAAGTTAAAGCCTTTTTTTTGTTTAAACCGAAAAAGGGGAAATGATGGAGGAAGGTCATTGGCTAATAAAGGCACTGCCCTGGCCCATTTTATTGGTTAGAGGATAGGTGGGAGGAGAAAACAGGACAGAACACTGGGAGGAAGAGGAAGTGAGGTCAGAGTCTCGACAGCTCTCCTCTAGGGAGCAGACTCCTGAGAGAGACGCCATGCCCCGCTCCCGGGATGAAGCTCTGACCCAGGATGGACTAGGCTAGAATCTCCCCGGTAAGCGCACCTTGGGGTGCTACACACAGATGTTTAGAAATGGGCTAAAATAATATGTGAGAATTAGCCTAGAAGAGAATGGACCAAGCAGTAATTAAATGAAAAAAAAAAAAAAGACACTGACCTATTCAGGATTTGTTGCTTCCATTTTATCTAATTTTAACATTATTGCTTTTTTAGATGCCTGCTTTCTAATGGGAAGGAGTAAGAAAGGATGTGAAATTGGGTGGGTGGGGATGTAAGGAAGATCTGAAGGAAGCTGGGATAGGTGAAAATGTAATCAGATTATACAGTATGAAAAATACATTTTCAATAATAAATAAAATTTAAAAATGAAACTGCCTTGACCATGCAATAAAATTTTGAAAAAAAATTAAATCCCATGCTTATGGATTGGGATAATCATTATTGTGAAAATGGCTTCTATTACCCAAACTGATCTACATATTCAACACAATCCCCATAAAAATTCAAATGAATTCTTCATAGAATTAAAGGAACACACACACAACCCAACACATACACCTAAAACTGATAAGAGAAATACAAAAGACCTAGAATAGCCTAATTAATTAACAAAAAAAGCAATACTAGAAGTATCATAATACCTGATCCCAAATTATACTATATAGAGTCATAGCAACAAAGATGGCATGCTACTGGCAGAAAAACAAACACGTAGATCAATATAGGTCATTGGTATAGAATATAGGAGTAAGAAGTAAATATACACAGCTACAATCATCTAATTCACACCAAAAATATCATAAGCATATATTGGAAAAAAGACAGTATCTGCGACACACAGCAGTGGGAAAACGCGATGGCCATATGTAAAAGGTTGAAACTGGATCTCTATTACTCATTCTACTCAAAATCAATTCAAAGTGAGCAAACACCTGAATGTATGAGTTGAAACTTTTAAACTGTGAAAGTAAAATATAGGAAAAACATTTCCAAGAACTAGAACGCTAACCAAGAATTGACAAATAATAAGATAACATGAAATTCTGCGTGTGCACAGCTAAGGAAACAATCATCACAGTGAATAGACAGCATACAAAATGGGGGGAGGGGAAGCATTGTCAATTATGTATCAGATACAAGATTCATAATTAGAATAATGAACAGCAAATTAACTCTTCAAAATTTATCTAATAAACAGATTGATAAATAAATGAGTTGATAAACTGGTCAAAGAAATATAAATGGTCAATAAATACTTGAAAAAGTATCCAACAACTTAGCCATCAGAAAAAAAAGAAAATTAAAACTGCTACGAACCAGTCAGAATAGTTGTAAACAAGAAAAATTAACAGGAACAAGAGTTGGTGAGAATGTGAATAACATTCTCACCTAATAACATCCTAATAACACTATTAGGAACATTAACTATTTCAGCAGTTATAAAAGTCAGTGTACAAGTTTAAGAATTAAAACTATCTCGGACTGCACTGACTGCTCTTCCAGAGGTCCTGAGTTCAACTCCCAGCAACCACATGGTGGCTCACAACCATCTATAATGAGATCTGGTGCCCCCTTCTGGCGTGCAGGCATACATAGAAGGAATGCTATCTCATATATGCCACTCCTGAATATGCATCCAGAAAAGAAAATGTGGTATACATACAAAATGAAATTTAATTCAGGCAAAATGAAAACTGAAATGATGGCATTTGCTGGAAAATGGATTCAACTGGAATTATTTACTTTAACTGAAATTAGTCAGGCTCAAAAAGACAAAAAAATGTTTTGTTTTATATGTAGAACCTACGTTAAAGTATGAATATTATCATATACATCATGAAACTAGAAAAGGGACCAATAAAGAACACATTTTAAGAAAGGGACAAGATGCAGAAAGGAAGACAATGGAATACAAGTGACATAAGAGCACAAGGGAAATACTTGGAAATAAGGTGACTAATAAGAGACAGTGAGAAAACTGGAGGGCAAATTAGAATCAAGTATGAGGCATATAATATAACCCTTTACTCTGTATATTAAGTCAAAAGGTAATTTTTCTTAAAAGAGAAAATTTTGGAGTTAGGGAGATGGCTCGTGTTTGTAAAGCACTTGCCGTTCTTAATTTTCCAGAACTCTCCTTGGGCTTCCCACAGGTCAGGGAACCCTGATTGCTCTTCGAGCAGATGAGGGAGGGGGACTTGATTGGGGGAGGGGGAGGGAAATGGGAAGCGGTTGTGGGGACGAGGCAGAAATCCTTAATAAATAAATAAATTTAAAAAAGAAAAAAAAACTTTCCAGAACTCGCATAAAGAGCAGAACAAAATCACTCATCTGTGATGTAGGATGTCATTTTGTACACAGCGAATATGTGTTGCTTTTATTGGTTGATGAATAAAGCTCCTTTGGCCTATGGCAAGGCAGAATATATCTAGATGGGAAATCCAAGCAGATATACAGGGAGAAAAAAAGAGTATTGAGAGAGGCCCAGCCGTGGGAGGAGTAAGATGACAAAGTAAGCACCTGTAAACCACAGGCAACGTAGCAATATACAGAAAAGTTAATAAAAATGGGTTTATATAGCTAGTAATAAGACTGAGCCACCAGTTAAGCAAATACAATTAATATTAAGCCTCTGAGTGATTATAAGCAGCTGCGGGACTGGGTAGGACACAGAAAAGCCTCTGGCTACACATCTGTAATTCTATTGGCTCCTATGGTAAAATGGAACACAAAGTATCTTTGAAACCTTGCCAGCTAGCTGGCCTGGGATAGGCAGCAAAATGAATCCAATTTCAAACAAGGTACAAGGTGAGGAGTAACATCTGAGGTTAGAACAACACACACATTTGTGGCAAGTGTGCACGACTACTTGCACACACATGAATGTGAGTACACACCCATCAGTCACATACATGCGCGCACACACGCGCGCACACACACACACACACACACACACACACACACGAGGGGGGGGAGGGAGGGAGGGAGAATTTAGAACTGTGACATAAGGCATAGCATTCTTACCTGTTAGAGCCACTATTTCCATTGCTTGAATTCCCTTTTGGTGTGGTACCAGAAGCCTTATTAACAGCTTTTGTACCACATTGAGATCTCTCCCTTGGTTTATCTAAAATAAAAACAAGGTTTTTGTTAGCAAACTGTAAACATAAACTATGACTTCACAGCAAAATGATTAGTGGATAATTAGAAAACTCAGGAGGCTGGTTATTTAATAGTTACATACTCATAACCAGAGAATAAAAAGCAATATGAAGCTTGCACTGTAATTATCATGTGATAAAATATTTTAATATATTATTTATAAGTGTCTACAAATAAGCATACCAGTCTCCTCAGTACCACTTTCATCCGATTTAGACGCACTTCCTAGGGATGATGATGAAGTCCCACCACCAGGCCCATTTTGTACACTCGCAACAGCATTCCTTGGAGGAGGATCTTTGTGATGAAATTCATTTTCAGGTATCATGTGAGACTTTCTACATTTCAACAGCCCCCAGTAGCTGAAAGTCGCACAAAGTGTTTAAATACACATACACAAATCAAAAAAAACACAAATATGGGGTTTAGTATAACAAAAATTAGCAAATTATTCACTCTGATACTTGATTCTAGAAAATAAAGTACTATTTTTCAGTATATTCTTCAAGGTCTTTAGAGTGTTCTAAAACCTTAAAAGTCATCCTTTCAAAATAAACTTATTCTATAATTAGAGAGCTTTTTTCTTTTTGATCCTCAAGAGATGGTAACTATGACAAAATTGTATTTCCCCAATTTCAAGGACTATTATTATATGTGGCCTTTGAAGCTATCATCCAGTATAAACCGGAAGTTGATAATCAGAAGTGACAACTCTCACCAGCCTGTGGGAACATGATCGCATAATCTCCCATAATCTCCTGAAGTAAGGCAGAAGATAAGACTTCAACATGGTAAAACATTTTCAGATCTTCAGAATCCTTCTATAATCTAGTCTCATAAGTCACATTAAAGTATAATTGTGTTACCCCATAGCCAATGCATATAGATCTGGCCTCTTCTCTTTTTCTTCTTGGCATATTTTGTTCACTCTTCTTTCCAAAGCCTGACCCAGATTTAGAACTTTTGGGTACCAAGGAAGTATTTTTGTTAGCACAATCAGTATATTCCTGATGTGAGTATATTCGCCTGTCTCAAGGCAATGCACCGATGCCTATAACAGACATTTAAAGATCTATTATCATAAAATACAGAATGAAGAGGAAAAAAAAACTACCTTTCAAAAATATCCACTTTTTATTTTACCTTGGTTAATTTGTAATGCCACTTATGTACAACATGTCGAAAATTTTCATAATCTAATTGATCAGCTTTATTTCCACCATCAAATCCAGTTGCCCGTAATATAGTAAGAAATCCTGGATAATTTCCACATTCCTAAGGAAAAATAAATTTCTCGCTTTTAGTGGTAAAATTTATCTCACAAAATAGAAGAATGAGACCAGATAAGTGACCAGATGGGAAAGAAATGTTCAGATTTTACAATGATAATAAGTTGAAATAGAATTTTTTTTAAAAAAATCCACTTTTAAATAATATATTAATTGTGGTTTTAAGTATCTGAATCCTAAATAGTTTTAGAAGTGACCAATCTGAAGCAATTATTATATACACACACAGGTAAAAAAAAAACATTTATCAATCATGTACCTTTTCATATGTGGCTCTATCACTATGCCACCTGGTCACTGTCTCTAACATGCAGCAGAGAAATCTCCCATACCGACTAGCTTCATTTTCAGTACAGCTTGCAACTGTGTAAATTATGTCAGAAAAAACCTAGAGGAAGAATGATTAAAAAAGAAAAACTGATTGAAAATATTAAAAGACTATCACAATAAACAGATAAATTTAGTAAAAAATGTACTTTCTCCTTTTATATTCACACCTGTAGAAGTTTTTGGTGACTCTAGGTTCTGTGGAAAAATAGCGATCATAAAGCATCCAAGTAAAGTTTTATGAATTTGGTTGATAATAATAAATAAAAGATTATTATTATTATTATTACATATAGCTTCTTGAACACTTAGCTATCCGTGATTGAGATTAAAGACAATAGGCAAAAGCGAACGTGATAAAATTTAGAATATGAAGCAGACATGATATAATACACATATTTCTAACTCACAAATGCAGTAATATAAGAAAAAAAAGCAAGATGAAATATGAATATGACAACACTAAAATGCTTCCCTGCTTTTATGTATTATGATTGTGTAAAGTCTTTGATTTGAGTAGAAGCTTGTTTTCTTTAGTTTTTTTTTTTTTTAAGAATGAAAGTTAAGAGTGGAGAGACCTATTTATAAAGATGAAAGATTATTAAAATCAAATTCTGAGTGAAAAGGTTAACCTTGAATGTAATAGATATCATTGCATGGGCTTTTTATGTATAGTGACATATTTAGGCCTCAAATCAATCTTACAAAGCAGGTTCCTTTTCATAGATAGGAAGATTGAGGCACAGAGAGGTTAATTATCTTGTGAAAGATCATATAGGTGAAAATTAAAGCTAGGAATCAAGGTCAAGAATTTAGCTCTTAAGATAGGCCATTCAGCTGGGCACCAGTGATGCACACCTTAGATTCGAGCACTCAGGAGGGGGAAGGCAGAGGCCCGCCTCTGTGTGTTCAATCAAGGCCAGCCTGGTCTATAAACTGAGGTCCAGGGCAGGCCAGACTGTTGTTACATAGATAAACCCTATCTCAAAAAAATAAAACAAACAAACAAAAGGATCATGGTATCTACCGTATATACAATACCTCTAGAGTTTATAATTAATAATTAGCTATCCTTACGTGAGATTTTGTTTTAAATGCTGCAGTAAGAACTTACTCGGTCATAGCAAAGAAGTGTTGAAAAATTTGGAGTTTTCTGTTGATGTACCAATTCAACAAAACGAGCACAGTAAACAGCATCTATTGCTGAAAAAATGCATCGAGGAAATATACACAGCTGTAGAAATTTTGTGATGGTCTCATTTTTGGTTGACTCTAAAAATAAAAGAGGAATGTATTAAGAAGTAATCTTCCTCAAGTGCCTCAAGGCTACCAAACATGGCATTTTACTGTAGTGTACAGAATGGTATAAAATCAAACTATCAGATAAATATTCATTATCACTTTTACTCTATGGACATTTTTCTATCTATAATTTCCAAGAAATATGATTCTATACACAAAATTTGAATACTAAACTGCCAATATTATCTAATTTTATTTTGCTAGCCAACTAACTCAAAAGTCACTTTAGTGAACACATGAAGTTGATTCTGCTGTAATGAATAACTAAAGGAGGGACCAATGAACACTGCTGAATACGAATATAATCACTTGAACACCTCCAGAGTGAGAAATGCTTGCTCTTGCAACTTAGCAGCAGCAGGAATATATAATCCCAACAACTTACTTGCTAAAAGCCAGTTGTCTTTTTCCAATTTCAATCTCTCAAGAACTCTCTGAACATGTTCCATCTGCTTCTTTTCTTCTTCAAGAAGTTTGTCCTGAAGGGCCGTGCAACGCTCCTTCTCTTTTTTCTTTTTATTTGGAGGCTACAAGTAAAGTCACATAATTTTTCTAACTGTATCTACATTGTCTCCCTTCATGTAATTAAGATTTTAAAGAGAAAAATGATTATACTTTATAATTGCTTCAGCATGATTATATAGTAGGTATGCCTGAATATTCCATCCAACACATCCAAATCAGTATCACGGAGTCTTCAGACACCTTCTGAATAGGTCACCTTCCTAACAGTGCTTCATTCTGAAGCAAAAATGAAGTCATTTTTACTTCCCTTCATTCAAATACCACTTATTTACAAGTCATATGTATTGCCACTGTCTCTAGCATAACCTATATTCTCAATACCACATAACCAAGTACCCCAAAAGACACGCAACCAGTCTCTAGACTTAGACTAATCTTCCCCTTATCAAAATAGCTATTAAAATTACTCTCATAATCTTTCTAAGGTACCATTTTTACATGTTATTCACCAGAAGAGATATCTAAACAAGCTCTAGATTATACTGTATTTACTATACTGCCTGATTTTCAGTACCTGCCTAATTTGTTACTAACCTCATTTTTCAAATACATCAAAAGTCCATTCAGTAGAGTAAAAAAGGTCTTATGCGCGCGCGAGCGCGCGCACACACACACACACACACACACACACATAAAATGGGTAATAATTATCCTGCTCTTGAAATAGGAGTCAAACAAATCACCTTAAATTGCTATGAGAGTGTTCACTAGAAAAGGCATGTATGTTTTTTATTCCTTAATTATAATTTCTATCCATTGAGGGGTTACCATTAAATTCATTTAAAATATTATAGATCAACAAGACTGTAGAATCAAAAATATTGAACTAAAATAATTGCAAAGCAGGGACAATAATACATAAATATCATAATTATACTTGTGTTGCTATAATAAAACCTACCATTTCCTGATTGTCATCAATCGCTTTCATCTGGACTTTAAGTTTATTGACTTCTCTTTCATAGCTGGTATGTGGAACTGCAAGGTCATACATTGTCAATGACCAAAATGTAGCATAGAACTGAGGGCTGATATCATCCCAGACTTTGGAAACGTGTAAGGATACCACTGCTTCATGGACAGGAGCCATCACCATCTCACATGATGTAATGTATTTATGAACTTTATGTTGCTGTTTACTTCCCTTTTCTGATTTTTTAAGTTCATCATATTTTGACTGGAGAGAAAAAGTTAAAACATATAATATATACTTATACAAAACTATAATGGCAATTCTAGTTTCTTACCAAGAGCACTTATTCCAAGATAAATTATCTCTGAAATCTGTTCCAATCCTTAGTTTCAAGTTCTTAACTAGGTTTTTTTTTTCAATAAAATTTGACCTACTAACTAACTGCAATAGGGCATGTATCAAGAGGCTGGACTGCCATAAGAAAAGTCACTGAGACTACCACCTCAGTGACCAAATGCCGAGTTTTGTCAGACTGAAAGACACCAATGCTGAAACTGACAATATTCCAGAGAAAGCAACCAATTACTTTAGTCTACTGTCAAGCCAAATAAAATTTTCCATACATACCTGTGGTAAATTAAATTGAAATCATGTGAGAAATGATGCTACCTTTTTTTTTTGTCCTGACTGGTGTGTCCTAATTAAGGAGAGAATCGAAGGAAGGCTATACTTTTAATTACATGAGGTAAAAAATGAATCTGCTAGTGAAGTGATACTGACATAATTATCAGTTCATAAAATATGTCAAATGCAGCAAAGAAAATTAATACACTGTCTCAAGTCTTTCAGCCATTTTATGATGAAATACTTCTTGCCAAAAAAATTTTAATTGATTTAGGCATCAAAAAGTCCTACAATCAGTTGCTTCTTTATATTAGAAAAACATTGAAATCATTCAGTTCATGCTAAACCTATAATCCCAAACCAGATGATCACCTATGAAACATTCTGATTCAGTTGTACACTGACAGGTCAACAGTCTCATCTGGACTAAAAGCATATATCCATTACATTCAATGATACGTCCAGCAGAATGCAGGAATCCTGAGACTGTTCTAGAAGTAGATTACTCCCATGCTAGAGAACATGCTGAGAACTACTGCAACTACAGAACTGATAAAGCTACTAATACTAACCCACAAGCTATAGGAAAGTGTACCAATTATATCAGAAACCAAGAAGAACAGTAGCTAGGGTAAAAAGGATTTTAAATTTAGAAAGTAGATTTTGCTGAAGGTAACTAATATGAATTTAAATGAGCAAAATGACATCTGATAAGGTTCTAACGAGGCACGAGACAAAACAGTGCTAAAACGACCTGCAAACGCCAATCTGACTACCTAACCGGGAAATCTCTACAACAACTGGAGCAAGCAAAACCTCCCTTGCAAATCTGTGTCAAGATCAAGTCTCAATGATTAAAAGTAAAAATTAAGTTATATGTATAAAAAGACTAAATAATAGTACCAAGCTTCCTATTTCTGTGTTTCTGAATCTGTGACTTCTATTGGTAGCCCTTCCACTAGAATTTAGTCCAAAAAAATAGGCTTAATCAAAAATATAGTTATACTTCATCTACAATGCCAATTTCCCTTATCTAAATTAAATTAACACTTAGGTTCACATCTTCAGTGAAACAGAGAATTAAGGGATACCACTATACTTTTGATTTATGTCTATAAAGTTTTTTTGTCAGGACAAGAATCTAAGCATTTCTGGTTGAATATTTCCAAGGGGGCCTGTGGTAGCCAATTTACAGAGGGGAACACACAGTTACCCCTTTTTCTCTCTCAGCATTTGAAAAGAAAAAAAATTATTTTTTACTCTGTGTCTTTCTGTGTGTGTATGGGGGGGGAAGGGGAGAGAGACAGACAAAAGACAGAATGTCTGTGTGTGTCTGTGTAGCATGTTTATAGGTACCTGTGGAGAGCAGAGGACAGCAGATCTTCTGGAACTAGAATTATGCGTAGTTGAGACTCTCCCAGCATAGGTGCTTGGAAGCACTCTTGGGTTCTCTGTATGTCCTATATTCATTTAGTCCTCTCCTCACTTTCTTATACATTTTCCCACATTCATCAGAGGCTCACTGAGAGGATTTCACCTAAGAAGTCAATTTGGGGAGGAGGGGGGTATGGATGCCCATCTAATTGCACTGTAGGCTGCTGAGGTACTCCCTTTCCTAAGAGGCATGTCACCCACATAGGGTGAGTTGGGAGAAATTTATTACTGCCTAGAGTATATAAATGCCACTGTATATTTCTTTCTTCCTAAACCCTAAATAACATGTCTTTCATTAGATTTTTTTCAACTCCTAAAAGACAACATTTTTCATGGCAAAAAAAAAAAAGTAGGTCATAAGTATGAATGATCTTTTCCATTTTCTGACCAGAGCTCAGCCAACAACAACCAGGTATTCCTGTTTGCCAGGATTCATTGACACTGATTAGGACATCCAGGTCTCAGAATAGTAAAATGCAACATGAAAGTCCCAAAATAAATAAAGCAATCCTTCCACCTAAGTTCTTCAAGAAATCAGGACCTATGTTTTTTATAAGTGAGACTTCTCTGATGTGGTTAGGGTAAGAATGCAAGACATTAACTACACATAGACAGCATATAATTTTCTATAATGATAGATTCTAAAGGAAAACAAAAGCCTCCTTTGTTCCCATTAACACTTTAGAATATACAGGACAGAAATTGCTGGATAATGGCACTGAGATGGTCATTAAATCAAATAAGACTGTAGCAGTTCAAAAGTAAACACTAACAGAGTATGCTCAATTACATGATCAGATGAACTTATCATTTCTCCCTAGTGTCTTTTTAGAGACCTGTCCTACAAACCCATATCCCTACAGGAATAAAGAGGGAATCTTAGTTTAAGAGAAGGAGACAAATACCACATACAGGACAGATTTAAACCATTTCACCCCATGTTACAGTTAAAAACCACAAACAGTATAAAACTAAACACAAAGAGCGGAAAGGTCAGAACCCAAGTAAACAGAAAATGGAGACTATGCTGCATCTCCATGAACTGATTATAGCCCTGTGGGGAAAGAAGTCAGGAAGACCTATGATGGAGGAAGGTCATTGGCTAATAAAGAAACTTCCTTGGCCCATTTGATAGGCCAGCCTTTAGGTGAGTGGAGTAAACAGAACAGAATGCTGGGAGGAAGAGGAAGTGAGCTCAGACTTGATAGCTCTCCTCTCTGGGGCAGACGCGATGAGGCTCCGACCCAGGATGGACGTAGGCTAGAATCTTCCCGGTAAGCACACCTTGGGGTGTACACACATTAATAGAAATGGGTAATCAAGATGTAAGAATTAGCCATTAAGCAGCTAGAGCTAATGGGCCAGGCAGTGTTTAAATGAATACAATTTGTGTGTTGTTATTTCGGGGCATAAGCTAGCCAGGCGGCTGGGAGCAGGGCGGCAGGAACGCAGCCCGCAGCTCCTACTACAGACCTAATTTTTGAAGCAGTACTGCTCACTGCTGAGACAAGAATAAAAACAGAAAATAAGAGTAATTCTCTAAGAGAGAAGATCTGAATTTATCAAATTAGAGTGTATCCAAAACTAAAATATTTGTGAAAGAATTTAGAATTACTCTTGAAAGCCAATGAGGATGTTAGTACTTACTGAAATATGGTGTGCATACATGGGCCTAGACAGAAAAAACGCTGCATCATGAGGTGTATGAAACTCATTACAGAGCACGTCAATTGAAGGCACTCGCTTTATGTAATCTTCTGTACTCAGATTAGACGCTAAAAACCCACCAAACTGTACTAGAGTATCATGACACTAAATTAAAATAAGACAAAAAAAAACAGATGTTAACATTTTACAAAATCAACATAAACCCTTTTTCAAATGATTAAGGTATATTATTTTGACAAAATTTTGATTGGGAATTAAGTATCCAGATTTTTAACAGTACAGGCAGAGACAGAAATGAAGAGCACTGGGTTCAGTGAAATACATGAGGGCCAGAAAGGCAATTTTCACATATTCCCACTTGTACATAAAGCCTATAATAATGTTGACTTCCCAAAAGTAAAAGAGAAGAAGAGTAGATATTATAGGCTAAGAGTGCCACTGGAAAAGGGGTTGGGAGATGTGGGATCTTTAATATAAAAGCACATTTATTAACATAGGATAAATAAGTTCTAGTTATGTAAAGCCAGCATAGACTGGCTACAGCATATAGTAATTTGTGAAATATAAAGGTCTAGAAGAAAGGAGCTCAATATTTCTCAAGACAATGATAAAAGATAAAAATAGGAATTACCAATTTCATCATTTACACATCTAGATACCATAACTGAATTATGGCAATATACCTTATAAACACGCACAATTACTAGATATCAAATAAAATTTTGAATTAAAACAAAGCTTATATATTCATATACTTATATTAGTCAAATATATTTTTATATGGTCCTAAAAAAGGGGGGAGAGAGCATGCCCTGTCTAGGCACAATGACACATATCTATAATATAACCCAACACTCAGGAAGCAGGGGGCAATCATAAGCTTAAGGCCAGCCTGAGTTACATCTTTATTTTATTTATACAAATATTCAGTATAAAACCTGGAGTAACACAAATATTCAGTATAAAACCTGGAGTAACTGCAGAAACCAGGAAAGTAAAAAGGGACCACTATGGTGGGGGGAACAGAGAGAAATGATAAGATACAAGTGACTTGAAGGGGGAACTAGAAAGAACAAGTAGATCTTTAATTCAGGACGGGGAGGAAAGTAAATACAAAAGGACAGGGAATGAGCGCCAAATAAAGGAATGTCTTAAAAAGTCATAAGGAATCATTCTATTAATTATCTACATAAATATACCCATAATACATGCAAATCAATGTTTAATTATATCATTTTAATGAAAATTGATCATCTGAGCTGACAATACTGTCCTTAAGAGCTACAGACTATTAACAAAAACTCCAACACTGGGTATGAAAAGTCCCCTTTTAGTTGCTAACCAAGTATTGTCCAAGAGACTCTCAAAACACTTTTCTAAAAATCCTATAAAACAATATGCACAAATAATGAGAAGTCAACACCTTTGTCATTATTTATAGAATTATATTACACACAAAAATATTTTATTAGCCAACAAAATGTTTAATTATTAGCAATCTTATTACTAAGAAGTAAAAGATAATATCTACTTTCCCGCAACTGAAATTACAGATTTCCAGAGATCAAAAAAGAAGGCAAACAATTTGATACTGGTCTTTCATAAGACGGAATATCTAATTAACTGAAAACCTTACCTCTTCTACACCCATCTCTTAAATGTCATAATTTGCAGAAATAGAGGCCCTATTTAGGGAAATCCTATTTGACATTACAGATGTTTCACATTCATATGGTAAGTACAAATGATATGTTTCAAAGGACAATACAATCTCTATTTTATCAGGATTAAAGAAAATCTCTCTACACCAAAGCTTCGTTCGCCTACCTGGTCATACAGTTTTCCAACAAGTTTCAAGTGTTTCTCTCCACCCTCCTGAAAAATTACTCCATTCCTCTGCTGAGCCATAAGTAAACAGAGTGGAAGAGCAAGATCATGGTCCAATAGTGCATCCTTTAATCTCTGAGAAGATTTTTTAGTGTTTCTGATCTGGCCAAAATAACCACCCTATACAAATAGAAGAAACAAATTTACTGCCTATATGCAACGTACTCCAAGTTGCCTCACTGGAAAAAGAAATAGAACAAAGTTGAGACACAATCTTTAAAACATTTCTGACCAGGGGCTGGAGTGACGGCTCAGCAGTTAACAGCACAGGCTGTTCTTCCAGAAGACCTGGGTTCAATTCCCAGCACCCACATGACTCAGAACCTCAATTCCCAGCACCCAAATGACTCAGAACTGTCTGTAACTCCAGTTCCTGGGAAACTGACACCTTCACACCAATGCACATAAAGTTAACTAAACTATAAAAAAAATTTAAAAAAAAAACATTTCTGACCTAGGAGTTACAATCCCAGCACCTGGAATGCACAGTTCAAGACCATCCTCAACTATATAAGTTGGACGTCAGGTATGGCTACACGGGAAACTCTCAAAAAACGGACGGTGGTTGTGCATGCCTTTAAACACAGCACTTTGGAGGCCGACACAAGGGAATCTCTGTTTGAGGCCAGCCTGGTCAACTAAGCAAAGTTTCAGGACAGGTTCTAAAGTGACTATCTTTTATACTTTCAGTCTTTAAAGATCCCATTACTAGTATATAACAGCTCTTTTTTTTTTTTTGGTTTTTTGAGACAGGGTTTCTCTGTAGCTTTGGTGCCTGTCCCAGAACTAGCTCTTGTAGACCAGGATGGCCTCGAGCTCTTAAAAAAGAAAAGTAGCAGTAGCGAGTGGTGGCAGCACACACCTAGCACTTAGGAGTCAGAGGCAGGTAGCTATCTGTGAGCTCAAGGCCAGCCAGGCCTAGAAGAGCTAGTTCCAGGACAAGCTCCAAAGCTACAGAGAAACCCTGTTTTGAAAACAACAAAACAAGAAAAAGAAGGTAGCAGTGGTTTTGAAAGAACACATATGGCTTTGACATTAGGCTCTAGGGACTTACATACTATTTGAATTCTATACCATGACCACACATACAGAATTGTCTACTCGTCTGTGTGAAACATGTTCTACAATCCACAGGGGATAAATAGATAGTACCAAATTCTACACAAATTATCTTTTATTTATACATATATACCTATGACAAAGCCTAATTAGGCACAGAAAGTAATTAGCAACAATTAGTAAAATAATCAGAAAGATACAATAAAATTATGCAAACATAGTCACTCTCCAATATGTTATTGTACTGCATTCATTCTTATGAGATGAAATGCCACTTAGGCATAGTGATGAAGAATTAGGAAACTTAAGCAAAGGTTACTTGAATACAAGCATATTACAGTACTGCCAACTGATAACTAAGACTACTATTCACATAGCCAATATGAAAACCCAAGATGGCTTGTATAATATGGATATGCTGGCCAAAAGGATAATTTATGGGACAAAAGTAAGCAAGAAGAAAGGCTAAAGATTTACATCATTCTACATAGGATGGGCCTCAAACTAAAAAAATTATAATTTATTTTTTATAATTCTTTTCTGTTTAATTTTGAATTGTGGTTAACCATGGGTAAATGAAACCTTGAAAAAACAAATCCATAGATACAGTGGGACCATAGTACATTTTATTTTAACAAAGTTCAACAAACAGGAAAAATAATTCTTACCTCAGCCTTTAGTTGCTCCCCACCAGTCATGGCCTCTAATTGCTCTGTTGTCATTTCTTCTGTAATTTCGATTCCTGCCATTTTTTGTACCACTTCTTTCAATATTAGTAGGTCAAAACTAATACAAAAAAAATTAAACCAGTTAAAATTTCAAATATAAAAAATACAAGATAATAATATACTGAGAATCTTTATTTAAACATAAAGAACAAGAGGGAACACCAAGGCTTGCTTTTTTATTTTATTTTTTAAATGAAATAGTTGTATCACTTCTAGTACTACAATAGAAATATTTCATGTTTACCTTTGATTTTTTTTTAACCTGGATTAATTTGAAGTTTGGGGCTAGGATACAAAAAATAAAAGTAATATGAAACATATTCAGATACTATTTACCCAAACTTCACGTTTTCACTCATAGTTTTCATTTGCATCCTCCCTGTCCTTCCTCCCCACCCACTAAATTTCATGTGTTAAGGCCTTGATCCCAATGGTGGCAATATTTTCGGAAGATTCTTGAAACTTTAGGTGAGGCCTCGCTGGAGAAAACAGGTCCCTGGGAATATATTCTTAGGGGCAGTATCTTGTCCCTGACTCCTTGTCCTCCCATTCTCACGCCTTTTGTCTGTCTGCCTCTATGTGTCTTTCTGTTGTATCTGTTTCCCTCCTTCTTCTCCTCACATCGTCCCTCTCCCCACACACACGTCTCTTCCCAGAGGTGATAGTTCTGCCCAACCACACCTAAGGTGGTGATATTCTGCCTCGCATCATAATTGCTACCTCCAGACTGAACCCTCTGACAATGAGTAGAAAAGAATCAGTGTCATATGGCTGCTTTCAGGAATTTGTCAGAATGACAAGAAAGTAGCACAGAATACTTTACAGAATGAACAGAAGAGTAGATGATTTAAGCCATGCTCGTTTGCTCCTTCAAATGTTTAAGAATGCACATTAGCACAGAGCCATTACCAACTAGAGTAACTCTAATATTTAATCTATTGTTCATAGTTCATTTTCATCAGCTGTCCCAATAATATTTTCCTTTTCCAATTCATGATGTTCAGTAAGTTTCATAGAGTAGGTAGCCATCTCACTAAAACTCCAAATGAGAAAAATGAATACAGCCCTACAATACTGGTATATAATTAGAAAAGAGGGGGGGTAAGGAAGGAAAGAAAAAAGTAAAGTGCCAAGTTGTGGTACTTGAACCTAAAGTAAAAGTTTTTGCAAAAACACTAAGCATGTTCTAGCTATGTGGTAACAGTTACCCATTTTTTGAGATATAGTCTCACTATATAACACTTAGTAGCATCAAATTCATGCTTCTCCCCTAGATGTTCTGGAATTATAGGCATCTCTCACAACACCTGGCTAGGTATATACATTCAGAACTGTCAATGAAAATAACACTTTGTGACTTCAATAACTTTCTTTAATTACATAATTTTTCCAAATGTAAAAGCACACCTATGAGTATACAAATTATTGGACAACGTATACTTTTCTAATATTCTTATCAGGGATTCCTTTCAATTTGTCATGCTTTCCCAAATCTGGCAGTTTCGTGCAAACTAATACACAACTACCAATGTAGCATTGAGATGTATTAAAACAGTTTTAATTAAATGGTCACAAATACGTATTGACAATAAAGCAAACTAAATTATAGATTAAAACTAGTGTTCTCATGGCTTGTAGAAGTAAAGAAGTAAAATACAGAAGTGACAGAGATTACAAAGGTAGCAACAGTGTCCCAACAAAACCGAGTTATTATATTTTTTCCCAAAGCCAAAATAGCACTGTAGGAAATTAATTCACCACCTGTTTGAAACACCAAAGAGCTTTTTTTTTGTTGACTTTATAGCAGAAAGTGTCTATAAACAATATAGTTATCTAATTATAATCAATCTAGTGGTGCTGTTTATTCAAAGCCTAAGCATTGCCACTTGCCCCACAGTATGCACAAAAAAGGAAAGTTAAAATCACGTAAGTCTTACATATCACTAAATTCACATTCAAAAAGTATTTTTTTTACTATATACTCCCTTAAAGAAACATTCTATCGGGGCTGGAGAGATGGCTCAGTGGTTAAGAGCACAGACTGCTCTTCCAGAGGACCCGGGTTCAATTCCCAGCACCCACATGGCAGCTCACAACTGTCTGAAGATCAGTTCCAGGGGATCTGACACTTCACACCAATGCACATAAAATAAAGTTAAATAAACCATAAAAATATTAAAAAAAAGAAACATTCTATCAAATGTGTAATGTAGTAAAGAAATCAACAATGTAATGTTTTGTCATAAAAGAACATTTAATATTCCTTATTAAACATGTTCTCAAAAATCTTAATGGTAAAAATAAGTTAACTGTCCTTTTAATGTGTTTTATCTGTAGCCAAATATTATATTGCTAGAGAAACAATCTCTCTGTAATAATTTCTAATTTATATTCAAGATTCAATATATAGACAGGCATAGTAGCACATAACTCTTTGGTGTAGCAGTTCCTTCTGTTTATGTGTTGCTTTCACTGGTTAATGAATAAAGAAACTGCCTTGGCCTAGTGGATAGGGTGGAACTTATCAACTAGTTGATAGGACAGAGAAGATAGAACTTAATTCTGGGAGGAAGAAAGCAGAGAGAGAGAAGCCATGGATCCTCAGCCTAAGACGAACACTGGTTAGAATCTCTGGAAAGCCACTGCCACGTGGCCATACACAGATTAATAGGGTTAAATTGTATGTAAGAGTTAGCCAATAAGAAGTTAGAGCTAATGGCCAAGCCATGTTTTAATTAATACAGTTTCTGTGTGGTTATTTTGGGTGTAAACTAGCCAGGCGGCCGGGACAAACAAGTGGCCCCCATCTCTCCTTGCAACAACTCTTTAATCCCAGTATTCAGGAGGCAAAGGCAGTCCTCTGTGAGTTTAAGGCCAGTCTAGACTTCGTAGTGAGTTCTAAGAAGGAATTCAAGGCCAGTCTGGATTTCATAAGTGAGTTCTAGGATGACCTGGGCTATATGGTGAGATCCCATGTCAAAAAAACCTAATTCTATATACACCCAAGCCTAATACTAAAAAGGTTGAGAAAAAAAAAGTATGAATTTTGAGGACAATCAGAACTGCAAATGAGACTCTCTTTTAAAAAAAATGTATTATACAAATAGTCATTCCAGTTAAAATCTATGAGTCTGACAAAGTAACAGTAATGCCAACATTCCAAATCCACCAGAAGTGCTTGAATTATTAAATTTCATATCCATATAACTTACCTTTTGCCTGCCTTTAATTGATTGGCTACATACTGAAGAAGACCAGCAAGATCAATGGGGTATTTACGGAACACCGCACCACAGAAACTAGCCAGACCTACATGAAATAAAAAGTAAACAAAATGTATTACTATAATTTATTAGTATTAATGTATTAGTATAATTTCAACAAATTCAATTTATAAAATAAAATGAGGTATGGAAAATTTTTTAAAGATTTATTTATTTCATGTGTGCTTGCGTTTTCTAGCATCTTTGTTTGTGGCCATGTTCATACCAGCTGCCTAAGGAAGCTAGAAGAGTGTATTAGATCCCTGGAATAGATGCTGTGGGTAACTGTGACTGCCGTGTGGGTGCTCGGAACTCTTGTACTCTTGAAGAGTAGCCAGTGCCCATAACCACTGAGCAATCTCTCCAGTCCCATATGAATTAAGCTTTGACTAATGAAACTAAATGGAGTTTTACAATACCAATACCTAATGTTTATTAAGTATACATATGTAAACATATTATCTTAATTCTTACAATACCTTAGATTAGTATAAACCTACTGATGAGGCAAATTGAAGAGATGGATCACATAACTTGATGGTGGTGGTTAACTAGGCAACAATGCAACCTATGTACCCTGATCAGTTAGGACTCAGTCATGTAAAATACCAATCAAACTCAAAACAACCAAATTCCCACAGAGTCAAAACACACTGTTTATATCTAAGAACATGCTACAGTTATAGACAACAAAAGAAACAAACAACTTTCCTAGAATTAGACATAAACCTTTTTATTTTTACTTTATACATATCAAGGTCTTGCCTACATGTATGTTTGTGTACCATGTGTGTACCTAGTACCCATAAAGGTCAGAAATTTGTGTCAGACTCCCTAGAACTGGAGTCACAGAAGGTTGTGAGCCACCACATCAATTCTGAGATTAGAACCCAGGTCCTCTGGAAGAGCAGTCAATGCTCTTAAATGCTGAACCATCTCCACAGCCTAAAAAGATCAATTTGAACCAATAATTCCTTTCATTTATAGAAGAGAGAGGAAACCCCCAGGAAAGACTAAGAGGATGAGTGTCTGGAACTTACCTAACAGTTATTTGCTAAGCACCTATATAATTAAACCAACATAGTCCTGCCCTTGGAGCTTAGAGTTCAATAAGAAATTCAGAAAACGGAATGAATATCGTGAATAAAAGGTTCTATGATAGTACTAGGAGCAAAAACTTAGACTTCTGGATGGTTTGCACTAATAATGAGTTTTTTAAAAATGACTTCTTGCTTGAAATCTAATGATGATGAAATCAGAAGATGAACTGAATGAAAGGAATGACCATGAAAGGGTATCTAAGTAGAGGAAAGAAGGTACAAAAGGTCTATGAATGGCACAAAACTTCAGTATTAATGGAATTAAAGACTGACAAATGGAGGGGGGGCTAGACTAGTAAGGGCCTGATTCTAAAAGACTTGAAGCACTTACTTGTAGCACTTACTAAGTATTTCATGGGCTAAGTAAATGTAGAATGCTTGCTTAGTATGTGTGAGGGACTAAATTCAGTCCCCAATATTGTAAGAGGAAAAAAAATCAAGCTTTACAGGACAATAGGAGTCACTAAAGATTCAGATTCACATACATTGCAAGAGGAAAGAGTGTATCCTCTCATAACACTAAGTTAGAAAGAAAGGGAATGTCGGCTCCCAAATGCCTCCCCTAAATTTTCCCATCTACATACTAACCCAGCCCAACCCTGCTTAGCTTCCCTGATCAGATGGCACTTAATACATTCAAGCTGGTATGGCCAGAGATTGCTTCCTCAAATTCTATCATAGTAAAAAGTAGTTTCTTGAGTAAAGAAAGTTAATAAGTACTTAATAAATCTCCATACAGACCCAAGGTCTCAGACAGTTTACAAAACAAGCCGAGTGGCCAATTATCCTCAAGAGTACTTGAGAAATAAGCCCCTAAACGGAAAACACTGGGTAACCAAATAAAAGATGGCGGTTACCACTTCCTTAGTATCACCAATAACACTATGAGCCTTAGAAAAAGAAGAGCACTTACTCTGAAGCCAGTTTGAGATGGTTGTGTCATCATGCTTCATCTTCTCCTTTTCTGGATTAGCTAAAGCTTCAATAATACAATCTTTCACACATTAAGAAAAAAATATCACATCGGTAACAAAGACCCTTAAACCCCCACATCTTGAGGGAGAAATAGAAATAACTATACTCATTGTATATCGATTCTCCGTTGCCCTCTTTCTCATCTTCTAACAAGCGACATTCCACCTGATTCAACATGTTTGGTAAAACAAGGTCTCTGCTCTCACACGTGTGCATGCATAAACATACACATAAAATTTCTCTTCCAATACTTTGTTTGATCAGTCAAATGGAGCAAACTTAGATCATTACCTAAGGAAATCAGAAAGAATAACTAAAACATTCGGCATTTAAATACAGGGACACATGATGTCTATATATGGCTTCACATGAAAGGATACAGGCCAAAACATCATAATTCAATGAAGTGAGGTATTTCAATGAATCTACTACAGGTGTTATCAAGTTATCATATTTCTGTATTTGTGACAAGATCTGGAAGAACAAGAAAGAGTAAGTTGCATTAAGTAAATAAAAACTTATATGCTAATTAATATTCATACTTATCCAAAATTAGAAATAATACAATTAAAGTGGTTTTTCTATTTTGCATATACTTGTAAATATAAATAAAGCATATTACATATTACAATTAATGCTCTGTACAGTATTTTTCTAAGGCTACATTTTCCATTTAGAAAACAATTCCAAGAGGTCTAAATTTGGATTTTGGAATGGTAGAGGCTATTCCTGTTTTAAATGTTATTTAGTCTTTCTAAAATGCATGCTTTGCTCTTTGTTTCAGGTACACATTTTTAGTCTTGTTGATTTTTCTTTGTGTTTTGTTTTACCAAGTGAGAGAGAAAACATGATGTTAGGTGGCTAGGAAGGTAGCAAGGATCTGAGAGGACTTGTGAGAGGGGAAAGAATATGATTCAAATATACTTTATGAAAATTCCAATAGTGATAATTTCAAAAAAATAGGTAATTCCGGGCGGTGGTGGCATACGCTTTTAATCCCAGCACTTGCGGGGCAGAGAAGCAGAGAGATTTCTGTGAGTTTGAGGACAGTCTGGCCTACAAAAGCTAGTTCCAGGACAGCCAGGGCTATACAAAGATATCCTGTATTGAAAAAACATTTAAAAAAAAGAATGCAACACTGTTAAAACTGAAATCAGAGTGAAACACTATTCAGATGTTTCTAAAACATACAGTAGTTCTGTTGTACATTACTAGAAAACTGATCAATATTATGTGAAGTTTTGTTTTAAGCATAAATTGGCATTTCATCAGCTTTTTCCCAAAACATCTTAAAATTTACATCATTTCATTTCCACTTGTACTGATTTAAAGAAAACCAAAAGGAAAACCCCTTAAAATAATATTAACTTCAAAACGTACATAATCAAACAAAATGGTTGGATTGCTGTGGCTCAACTTGCCAATTTGTCTTCCTGAAGGCTTCACATTTTCCTTGGTTAGACGCCTATAAGGGAGAGAAATGTCAAGGTTCATACTAAGTACCATTACTCAGCTGCTGATAAGCTCTGCTATATCATGAGAAGAAAACCAAAACACGCAAAATGGATCCATACAAACTACTGCATTTTCATATACTCTGCAGCAGAAGTTGAACTTTCAGAGGGAATTTCAAAGTTTAAGAATTAGTTATCTATTAAGAATAAAACTTACTTTACTATACAAATACATAAAATACCTTTTTAAAAGAATCATAATTATTTTAGATTTACCAGGTTTTGTTTATCAGTTCAGGAATTAGTGGGGCTTCGGACCCTGACAGTTCTCAATTTCTTATTCAAGGTACATAATTTTTACAATTAACAAATTACATTCCTTTCATACTTCTTTATTTCTTTTGTGTTCAGTATACTTTTTACAAGATTCTAAAAACATGTATCAATGAAACTTATAGCTCAACACAATTATTACACAAAATTGGAAGCTTTTCTGAGATGATTACATAATAAAAGCAGAAACTCTATAAACAGCTATAGGTGTGATTAATTAAAACAATGTTAGTTTAACGGGGTGCTTCCTCTTCTTGTTTCCTACATTCCCATTCCCTGCCAGTGGAGAAGAGAGCCCACTGGTTTAAACTTGACTCCATATTCTCTGCCTTCACACAGCACACCGTTTTGGGTAGTTCTACTTGCCAGGGTTTACACTCTCCCTTCTCACATACACTATATACTTTATTCTATTCCCTATGTCTTCACTACCCTGAAGGGAAAAATAAGCAAAACTAAAGAAATACTTTCTTGATGGCATTTAACCTTCAAGTTACCAGAGTTTCATGCATAGAAAACACAACCAATGAGCATTCAAAGAATGAATGATTTGAAAACATAAAATTACCCAAACAACACATTAATATACTCCATTCTCAGAGTAAAAAGTTTAAGAAGCAAACTCATAGTTTGGTGAAACAGTTACAGCTAAAATATAACAAAAATCCAAGGATATTAAAAATTTTACACACATTGTTCTACACTAAATAATTGTACTCATATATGTATTTATATTAATGCTTTCTATAACACAGGAATACAAAAATGAGAGCAGTTCTTGCTCTCAAATTTGGCCTAACTAAAGACTCATATTTCAAATCATTTTTTTGAAATTTTCCTGTTATTTTTTGTTTGTTGGTTTTTCTGCCAGTCTCACCTCAGTAGGAAAAAAGGCGGGCTCAAATTCATTGTCCTCCTGCCTCGGAGTGCCAAATACCGGGAATACAGGAGTATGCCAGTATTCCCGAGAACTTTCTTTTTAAAAAGCTAAGAAATCTGAAAGCAGTATTTATATCCTATCAATAATATGAAATGTGAAGATAGTATGATCACATTGTCTTGAATATACATAAAAATGCCCAAAAGGATAAATAAGAATCTAAATACTGGTTACTTCACATTTCTCTTTCTGAAGAGAATTGAGAAACGGATGAGAGACATTTTACTGAATACCTTTTAAAAATGTATATATTTGCCTTATAGGCAAAATGTGATGTTCATTATCTATATAGGCATTGCAGAAGGAATCTGTCAAACTATCATTTTATTGCCTCAAAAACTTACTTTTATATACATTATTATTATTAACTGATCACCACGCAGTAGAAAATATAACTAAAATTTCTTACATCTAAGTGAAATATTGATTCCTTTGATCAACATTTCTCCTTTCCTTCATATCTCTTTTCTCCCCATATTTCTCCTGCTGCTACTGCCCGAGAACCACTTTTCTCGCTTTAAAAAGGGAGGAAATTCTGTCAATCACTACACTGACAAAATGGGAGAACACTGTGGTAACTGAACTAGGCATAGAAAGATAAAGCTGTATATAATACTTGCATATAAAATCTGTATACTCATTTACTGAAGTTGAAATCATTTGGCCATATAATTTTCAAGAACTTTATAAAAATACAAAAATGAAAAAAACTCTCATTGCAATGTGCTTAAGTAGAATGCTAGTATAATTTTCCTAATGTATACTAGATCTACAAATCAATTTTGTTTGGCAGTATGTTCTGGGGAAGGCCTCAGAGAACTGACACTTGAGCTTACTTTCTAAGAATGAAACACGGATGCAGAGGCAAAGGCAAGCTAAGGGAAAACTTGTACAAATGAAGGAAACAAAAAAGACATACAATGGAAGTAAGGCTACAGAGAGTGTGCTACATTCATACATTCAGGTAAACAAGTAAGCTCAGTACAGCTGGTTAAGTATAACCATTAGGAAATGAGGTAGGATATATGGTAGGAAAGATCAAGGAGTATCTCTCGCATTACCATGCCATAAAGTTTGCCATACAGCCTGCCAAGTACTGTCAAGTCACCCAAGGATTTTGAAGTGAGGAATAATATGAGCTACTATGCTATTCCAGATTTAAAAAAAATTAAGGCTGTTGTTAGAGTACAGAGAATCAAGAAAATGATAAAGCACTCACTCAGTACCTAGCACAAACAATAATAACACACACACACAGCCTGATCATTCTCATATATATGTGTATACAAATGTGTTCATGTACTATGTTATGATATATTCAACCTGACCTGATTTTGATAACCTAGAAACTGTATCTGTAGGTTTAAGCCAATTTTCTTTTACGCACCAAGCCTACAGTCTCCCCAACAATTACTTCCTAAAATAACTTCTTTTCCCATTAAATAATTAGATATTTTCTTCTATTTTCCCACCCATTATATATAGTCTATGCAACAACTGTGACCATGCACATGGCTATTTTTCTAGTAGACAGTATTCATAGACACAGACCCATAATAGCATAAAGTACACAATTTTCATAAGCTTCAAATAATTTACGAGAAAGTATCATTAATATCACTCTTACAAACACAGTTTGATTCCCAGGGCACACATGGAGTAAAGAGAAAACCCATCTCCAGTAGTTATTCCCCAACCTCCACATGCATACCATGGCATATATATGCCCAATTACATAGACATATAAATCTTAAAAAATAAAAATAAAATATTAACTTGCAATTAAAAGATTACATAAAACTTAAGTCATTCTAGCTATGATATATAATCAGCTATACCTTTAACAAATATTTATGAGCTTTCTCTAAATTAAGACTCTCAACAAAATAGCTGAAACAAAGTAAATTATATCCAGACATAAATAGGATTAATATAAAAAAACAATAAAACTTACTTCATGATATACTTGGCTCTGTCTATTGTTTGAGCTTTAACTTTTACTAAAAGTGGGTGACCATTATAAGTTTCATTCTTCCACTGGCCATATAGACGGTATCTTTAAAAAATTAAATGAAAAATTAGAAAACATTAGGTGCTTAAAAGTTAGTGCACTAGAATTAATTAACAGGAATCAACAATCTGAGTATTTACCTATGCTGATAGGGAAATGTTTTAAACATCCCCCATAGTTCCTCAGACATGCAAGCGTTGCAGTCCATCAAAGAAAGAGATGGAAGTAATACCTGGTCAGTAATGCTAAGCAAACAGCTAAGGATAACTTCCTAAGAAGAAAGCAAGAAGAAATATGTCAATAAGGGTCTTATTTCAATATATCGTCAAAATAGGAGTACCAGTCTTAAAAGAATTGCCATTTTTAAATCTCATAACACACATATATAATTCCCCACACTATCATTGTCTTTTCTCCAACCGAGATAGCAAATGTGGTGAGATGCAAAGGAAGTAGCAAAACAATGGGGGGCTTAACCTTTTTCCTTATATAATATGGTAATCTTCAAAAAGAGGATGTTGACTTTAGAAGAAAAATATAACTGAGCTGCCAGATGCTGTACTGAGCACATAAATTATAAAATAATTATTTCTGATGATAGTTAAATATTGTTCATTGTAAAATATTCAGCATGCTACATTTGACAAACACACCCATTATTTAATATTTTCAGTCTCTTACCGTTTTTTCTTTATCTTCTTGTTTGCTTCCATCTGACTGAAACTAAAATTTAAAACAATAATATATTTAAAAGTTGTTTAACTAGTTTATAATTTTAAAAATTAAATATTTCTTAGATGTTTGCCTTTTTACATACATGGTTATTTGAAATACAACATATTACTAAGAAACATTTTAGATTTTTATGTATACTTTTAACCTCTAAATAATTTTAAAATCCATGAATTTTAAGTATAAATATGGGTACAGTTTGTTTCTTTATTTTTACATGTGTGTCTATGAAACACAGTCTCATGTAGTAGTCCTGGCTGGTTCCCAATTCTCTTTGTAGTCCAGGCTGACCTTGAACTTCTGATTCTCCTGCCTCCACCTCCCAAGTGCTTTGATTAGAAGTGTGTGTCACCACATCCAGTTTATGAAGTACTAGAATTCAAGCCCAGGGCTTTTAGGCCCACTAGATAAGCACTCTGCTAGCTAGGCTATTATCCCCAACCCTAAGTATCCGTTTTACGTGTCTTAACATCATTATAAACCAAAGCTTCTAAAACTCATATTAAGCAATAGTTACTAAACGTAGGAAAACTGTAATCATCAAAACCATTTATTTCAAATGCATTTATATTTTCTACCCACATTCCCTTACAGTAGCAGTTTTCAACCTTCATAATGCTGTGACCCTCTAATACAGTTCCTCATCTTGTGGTGACCCCCAACCATAAAATTATTTGTTGCTACTTCATAACTGCAATTTTGTTACTGAGTGGTGTCTCAGGTCCTAAGACCATGAGAAATATGTTTCCTGATTTGGGACCCACAGATTGAGAGCCGCTACTTTACAAAATCAATATAACCAAATACTAATATAACCAAAACTCAGAAAAAAGGAAATGAATCTAAATTACATTATAATTCACCACTATATCAAAATGCTCAACAAAAAGTAAGTCCAAAGTATTTGTGAAACTGCTGACATAAAAAAAATCACATTTTGGGTCTTTATTATCCCAGTACAGAATGAACCTTGAAGTGACTTGTTTGACAATGCTATCTAGTCACTTAAAATGATACTATGAAAGCTGAGCATAGTTGTGCATGCCTTTAATTCCAGCACTTGGCAAGCAGATCTCTGAAGAGTCCAAAGTGAGCCTGGTCTCACATAGTGAGTTCCAAGACAGCTAGAGCTAATTAAGGGACCTTATCTTAAACGCAACAAAAACATTAGTGATGCCTATAGGTGTATATGTGTATAAAGGCAGAAAACCCAAAAATACAAATGAAGAACTGACACATAAGAACAGTCTAGACATCAGGAAAAGGCAAAGGTCAAAACTGAAACAAGCGAAGGAGAAAGCTATGATGCAACACCACCTATTTGATTTTCATGTTAAAGAAGGGATTCTTTTGCATGCGTTTGAGCAAGTTATCAGATATTCCCAAAGAAAAGTCTTAGGTGCTTTAGTTTTAATCTATCAGTGATTTAGGGTGCATACCAACATATCTTCTTCTTCTAATTGGCAGATTCAAGAAAATAGGGTTCTCTTTCACAGATAAAACTGAGTCAACTGATAGTTTGTCAGCAAATAAGGAATTCCCTGTTATGAAGTAGTCTTTTTGTACACTGTGAAGAAATGTCACTCTGAATGGTTTAATAAAGTATTTTTACCGTAACTGAGCTGGTTTACTTCCCTGAGTAACTCTAGTCAGTTTCTAATGTCCACATGTCAATTCTTAATATTTCATAAACAGGAAAAATTTAAAAATATAAGACATAAAGCAAAGCTACCTAGAAGAGCAGTAAACCTTCCTATCAAAAGCTCATTGCAACAAGGAGTAATAAAAATAAATCAGGAGGTACACACAAATTAAAAAAATTTTTAAAGAAGATAAACATATTTATGATGGTGTGAAAGAAAATGGCCCTCAAAGGGAGTGACACTATTAGGAAGTGTGGCCTTGTTGGAGGAAGTATGTCACTGTGGGGACAGACTTTGAGGGCTCTTTTTCTCAAGCTTCCCTCAATACGACAGTCAATCAACTTCCTGTTCCCTGCCTATCAAGATGTAAGGACTCTCAGCTCCACCACCACATATGCCTGCTCCCCACCTGATGATGATAACAGATTGAACCTCTGAAACGGTAAGCAAGCCACCTCAATTAAATACTTACTTATGAGTTACCATGGCCATTGTGTCTCTTCACAGCAATAAAAAACCCTAACTAAAACAACATCCTACTCCATTTATCTCTTCCTTTTCTTTTAGTTTACTTCACTTTCAGATTGGGAATAGCATTAAACAACACCCACACAATTCTCTATGCTGCAGTCAGCACTAGGCTGAAGCAGGAAACACCAGGAAGTGGGTGCAAGCTGCAGTTATTTACTAAGTATCACACATTTAAATTTTGAAAAGAGGACACAGTTCCTATCTTTGAAGTCACAACTCTTAAGCTACAAGACACCTGAAGTGCTTTCAACATTTGAATTTTAAATGAGTAAAAGAGAGCACTCAACTAGGGTTAGAAAGGCCATCATCAAAATCAACTGAGGTTCCAACATGACTCTATAAAGGCATAAAAGACAATACCATTATACAACAATACTCAGCACCCGAAAAATTAAAAAAATAGAGACATCAAGACAGACTTTGAAAAAGTTGAGAAATAAAGAATTATAAATAAAACTAAATAAATTGCCTCTTATGAGTAATGATCTAACAATTTACTACCTTATTTTTCAAATGCTACTTAGAACTGTTATTTTACCTCTGATAAAAACATTTAAGATTTGTGACTAGTTTGCCAGTAAAATTACAGCACTATTTTAACTTACATGTTATTAACTACCAATTATTGAGTACCTACTAGATTAAAAACTGCACATACATACCTCAAAACTACTTTATGAAAAACCTTTTTGCTAGAAGCATCCAAAACAGGTCCCATTAAAATAATTTAGAATGGGCCTAGAGAGATGGTTACTATCACTGATTGCTCTTCCAGAGGACTCAGGTCTAATTCTCAGCACCTAAGAGGCAACTAGCAACTAACTCTAACTCCATTTCCAATAAATCCAACGTACTCTTCTAGCCTCCACAGACATTGTACACATATGCTACACAGACACATAGGGAGGCAAAACACCTATATACATAAATTCAGAATATTTTTTAAATAATCAAGTAAAAAATAAAATAATTTAGAATTTCTGAAGGTAGTGGCACATGCATGACCTCTAAGAACTCAGGAGTAGAGGAAGGGAGGACTGAGTTTAAAGCAAGTCCAGGCTAAATATCAAGATAAAATAGTAATTTGGAGTTTAAAATACAACCCATAGAAAGAGTTACAGGAATGGGAGGAGATTACAGTTGGAAATTCTTTCATTTTTTCCACTGCTGGAAACTGTTATATATGAATAGTTTCCATTATAAGTAACATGTGCATCTAACTTTAGAACAAATTACAGCTTAAATATTAAATCTGTTTAAAGAAATGTACTCATATTTTAGTTTGTCTTTCCCCAAAAGCAAACAATATCAAGTGCAGGCAAGTAATCCTAGGAAGCACCAGGAGCACATTAGCACTGCAGGTAAAAAAGGTTCAACACCACAGCAGATTCTGAGTCTGTGTAGAAATATCTTCGTGACAATCAACTCTTATCTTTTCAGTGGTTGAAAACTGAGCAGAGAGCCTGTGAGATGTCTCAGTGGCAAAAGCACCTGCAAGCAAAACTAGTGACCGACCTAAGATTGATTCCCCCAGAACCCACAGAGTAGAAGGAAAGAACAGACCCCAGCAAGATATGCTCTGATCTCCACATGTGCTCTGTGGTATGTATGTATGTAAGTATATATGTGTACATACACAAGACACACACACACACACACAAAATGCATGAGTATATTTTTTAAAAAAAACAGCTCAGAAAATATTATGTGGTGTTAGATCTCTAGCAATTCATACCTTACTTGTGTGGGTAGCACAGGCTCCCAGAACAAGCAGTGAGAAATCAGACAGCAGAATGCTAACAACTTAGGATATAGCAGCATTTGCTGTCACGCATGTAAAAAAAAAAAAAAGCTTCTCACAAGTAAGCAGTATCACACACAAATGTTTTTAGATATTATTTCTGTTCTTTGCACTTTGAACTTGTCTTGAAATTAGCTTCAACGACTATTGTCACAAAACAAAATACATGGGGGGTGGAACAATAGCTCAATGGTTAGGAGCACTTGCTGCTCTTGCAGAAGATCTAAGTTTGACTTTCAGCACCTACACTGGCTCACAACTACTTACAACTCCAGTTCTGGGGGATCTGATGGTCATCTCTAGCTTCTCAGGCACCTGAATGCATGCAATATACACACACATACACGCACACACACTCATATATACCATTAATAATATATCTTCTAAAATTTAATTCTTGGAAGATGGAGCAATTAATAAATGAATTAAAAACGTATTTTACCTTTTTCTTGTATGGACTTGTATATACTCATTAATTTCCTACTCTTAGCAAAACAAGTCTCATAAAAAATAAGTCACATACCATTCACACAGAGTTGCCACTTGCCTATTGATATTTAGTATCTGAACCTAGACAGTATAGCTAATGTTAAAATTACTACATAATCTTCCTGAGCCAGCTGCCATTAGAGCAGCAGCTATGGCCCAGTTCAACCCCAAGGTAGTGGGCTTCAACAAAAGCCAAAGTGGCAAGCCGATGCATAGCCAGCAGTGCTGGCACCTCACCAAGCATACCAAGTTCATGCAGAACATGATCCAGGTGTGCAGCTTCATGAACTACAACTGGCACATCATGGAGCTGCTCAAGGTGTTCAAGGACAAGTGCTAGCTCCAGTTCATCAAGAAGAGTGGGCACACATCCACACCAAGAGGAAGAAGGAAGAGTTGAGCAACATGTTGTCAGCCATGAAAGAGGCTGTGGCCAAGAAGGACTGATGCCCCCACAAGTCTGCTCCCCTACTCAATAACATTTATGCTGCACAAAAAAGATACATTTCCTAAATATGACTGAATAC